GATAGCCAAAAATGTTTATAAATGAGCGTTCTTCCACCAATATGAGTAAATTCATGAAAAAACTGAGTCAAATACGTGCATTACAAACGCTGAGTCGTAAAAATCGTAATAACAAATCATTCTGGATCATTTGAATTCATAGATTGGCTGCCCCTTGAGGCCCTAAGAGCTCGATGACCTAACCTCAAAATTACTGACTTGTCCGTGCTTTCCCTGACCTTCATCGGAAAATAGAAACAAATATTGTTGTTTCTATTTTCACCGTTATTTGCTTGCATGCAGATTAATGTGACAAATTGCAAAGCTAAATGGCTCATAAAATTCAATTCGAATAACTTTCATTTACCACCATTTCTCACCACACCTCTTGATCCGCTTGTCACGATCAATTACCTTCCACCCTACTCGCCGCACACTGGATGGAGGCAATGGAAGAGGTTGGACAGAATTTGGAAACTCTAAAAGCTTATGACTCCGTTGAATCAAGACTTTGAGATTTTAAAAATGGTTCCATTGGTTTACTCGTGAAATTTTCTTCCAGAAGCGCTCCTCAAAATTTTAAATGTGACGCATTCAACATCAAAATTTGCAGTTTTAGCCAAAAATTTCATTTTCAACCTCTCTAATGGAGAATTTGCACACACAAATTTTATTGCTTCATCTGAGAGTGCCTAATGAGCTGAGGTCGCAGTATTTTTCATAATTGTTTTCTGACATTGGGGATTGGAGGAAAATAGATTTTAAAGTGAGAAAATGTGAACTTTCCATTTGAACACATATATTTTAGCAGATTAGGTTATTTTGTCACATTTTCTCCGATAAGTAATTGTTCAATTTAGAAACCAAGGATATCCCCGCACTCAGTTTTCCCAGCGGTATCATTTTAAAAGTGAAATTCACAAAATTTAAGACACCTGCAAATTCTCTAATGGAGAATTTAGATGATTTTCTTCCAATTTGCGTTAATCTAGATCCACTGTGCGCCGTCCTGAAAACCGGGCAATTAGATTCACCGCGTTCCGTCAAATGTCCTCGCAAACGCCTCGAAAAAATTGTCATGTCGAAGGGCACTATTTTACAAAGTAAAGGCGCTTAGAACATTTCCATGTTTTTCTATGGGAAAGTGGCAACTGCGATACGCGTATGGCACAATGACACCGCGAGGAGAGTGGACAGCTGTCAGTGGCTATTATCACTTTTCGCATTGGATTTCGTGATCCCGTTTTAATTGCCGTTCATCGTCGAAAATGAATTCTTGATCCGAGTGATCGATTACGAGATACGATTTCATTCCTTTCAGCGATAGGCGCGATTGATTTTTTCAATATCAATGCGCTATAGAGTACGGAGACTGCATGTAGCTAACGGGAAATAATTTTTTTTGAGAAACATTCTCACAAATATTCTCAGAGAATCTTCACAAAATATCTGTCGAAAATCTTCACGAACACCCTCCTTAATTTTTCTTTAAGAGTGTTCTTAAAATATTTTTCGACGATTACCTAGCATGGTGTCAACAAACAGTTTTTCTAAGTTTTTTTTTGACACCATGATCATCCAAAAATAAACAATTCTGACTCTTATGAAAAATGATCACGATGTCAACGATCACGACGTCAACGAAACTTATAACTTGCCTCAATAACATCTTTCAAATTTCAAGTCTTGTTTTTCTTGTGTTATTTACTCTGAACTAACCTAACCTAAACCCAACCTTACCCAACTCTACCTGACCTTACCCAACTTTACCTTACAAGACCTAGCCCACTTTCACAGAGCTTAACTTTCCTCAACCTTACCCTACATAACTTTAACCTTACCTACTTAATCTAACCGTACATGTCCTGACCTAAACTAACCTAATCCGACTATAGATGACCTAGACCTCTCCTGTATACTTAATTTTGGGCGCTTCTGGGTACCAGATGCGCCCTTTCCAACCGTTCGACTCCCCCGATGTAACATGTACTATACTACATGCCCTTTTGCCTTATGGGTAATGACGCCATTCTGGTACACCCGGGAAAATTTGATTTTTTTCTGCATCTGGTATTCGTAAAAGTTTTCGTGAAATGTTTTGCTTTTAAGCATAACAATCTCGCACGGACGTATTACCTGGTTAAAGTATTTTAGGGCCTCCTTATGCTTTAAATACTTATATCCGAGGCAGTACTTTCAGATCGATTTGAAAATATTACGAAAAGTCACGTGATCTCTTCATTTTAGTGACGTATTACTGTGCTACTTTGTGATTGGTTCATTTTCTTGGCGCAGCATCGACACGTCAGCTGTTTGCGGCATTGAGCGGAAGGTTTAAGGTTATGTCATGGACCAAGAGAATGAATAAGGACCCCCAACTCCAGTTAGCGGAGACATTAGCGTTGCCTATATTTTCATCCATGGCCGATGTCACCGCCGCGCCGGCCGGCCGGTCCCTCTCTTCCCCGCGACCCGCGCTTCCCCACCCCGCTGCTGAACTCCTCTTCACGCGGCCGGGCCCCGCTCCCCCGCGACCTGCGCGCCCTACCTCGCGGCGTCGCGACGCCGCTGTCCGCTAGATCGCGTTGACGCACCAGCTTTAGAGGTTCCGCCGCTCTTTCCCGTCGTCTGATTTACAGTGCATCCTTTATGTTTCCATTCACCACCAGTTTAAATTCATCACAAAGTTCTCGTGGATAGTTTCAGATTTTCGCCATCGATCTGAAGTTATGAAGGGTTTTGCGGTTAAAGAATCCCACTTCAAATTCCATATTCGTCAGTCTTCGGATTCATAAGTTGGTAGTAATATGCTTTGTCAAAGAAGCGCCCTCCAACGCTAAGCGTTGGAACTGCTTGTTTTAATTTTACTCATAAGGAAAATATTTTTCTGTTTGTTGAAACCGTGATCGTTGACACCATGCTCAGGGGCCCATTTTTGCGTTTTACTGCTTGAGCACGACGTCAACAATCGTTGACTCCGTGATCAGATTTTTGGTTTGTTGACACCATGATCGTTGCCACCATGCAACCTTACCTTTTTGACATTTCTTTAAATACTTCTTGATTAATCTCCAAATTATTTTTAAAAACCCCCGATTTTTTTTTAAATATTTCCAAAAATTCTACGAATATTTTACGAGAATTCGCCGTAGACTCTTCGAAAAGTCTCTAAATGTTTTCCGATAATTCGCGAAATAAATTCTCTGAAAATCATCCGAATATTATTAGAACATTTTTGGATTATTTTTGTAAAACAATTTGACCGATACTTTTTTTTAAAATGTAATTTTTTTAACGTCAAACCTATTTTGTTAAATATAAATTTCCATTTTCTTTTCTCTGCAAGATTATGGACTTTAATAAATTGATGATCTCAACAGAGCCCAAGAAATAAAGGGCCACAATTTTGTAAAAGGGATCGAATATACTTAGCCAACGAAAGTATTGGAAACCGGCTGCCAACTGCCGATGTCGCACATTCAGACACGACCGCATCGTTGTGTATGATGCCGCACACGGTACCATACACTGCCGTGATAGCGAGGAGAGCAGTAAGTCCATGCTGGGATGAACCTCGAGACACTTAAAAGCATGTGCAGTGGCGTGGCGTGCTTTGCGATATATCGAATGATCTGCCATTTAAACCTATGGAAAAGGATCGATAAACAGGGTGTTCGCAGCGAACACCTTAATAATCGATTCTTTATCATAGGTTTAAATGCCGTAACGATCGAAATATCGCAATTCACGCCCCGCCAATGGTGCTAAGAATGGCTCATACAGAAATGCACTTACTGCGCTCTTCGCTATCGCACGGCAGTACACCACACCACAGGTGTCTTCGGAAGCCACTAAAAGATCCTAGTCTCACAAAAGACCACGAGGAATTCCTTATTATATCATCCTTGCATGTTTGTGTCATGTAATCCTCCGTGAAATTTTGGTAGCGTATGCAACCACGATATACCGCGATCGTCATTCCTTTGAAAACTTCCGTCAAAGTGACCTTCGTCTTTTGACTTCTTTTCGGCTCCCAGGAACTTCAGAACGACTGCACTGAAAAAAAATTCTCGACGTTTTTACCAAGGTCCGTTGGTACCTTTACCATCTCACTTTTTTACCAATTATTGATAATTTTACCAAGACAGACTGGTAACCTTACCTGAAAACCGGTATTTTTACTGTTTTTTTCAGGTAAGAATACCACTTTTATTGGTAATCAATTCCCGGTAACTTTGCCATTTTATCTCGGTAATTCTACCAACCACAGTCGATAAAAAATATTGGCGTTTTTACCAAGGTCCAGTAAAATTACCGAGAAAGTTCAATAATTCTACCGAGATTTCTCGGTAAAATTACCAATTCCATAAATGGTAATTTTACGAAGAAAACATCAGGATCAAATAGAACCCTGAATTCTTGGTAATTTTACCCTTTTCGTAGTAAATACACCGAGATTTTTTTTTCAGTGTGCCTGTTCAGCATCTCATGCGCGAGGGAACTCCTAGTCAACGTAATCTCTCGAAAACCTCCTTTATTTTTCTTATTCCCCGTCTGCAGAATATTCCGTGAGAATTTCAAGCTATAAAGTTGGCGTGTCTCATCTCGAAAAATTAAAAAAAAAGGACGGACATTTTGAAACACAGCAATGGAGATAAATGGTTCCGCACTTTGACCACCGCTATAAACCAAACTTTTTCTCTCCACGAGTTACACATTAGCGTTTTTTGTTTTTTTGGGAGGAAATATTTATTTTATATTCATACAAGTTGGAATGGGACGGACAGCGGCTCCACCCTATATTAGAAGAAGGTGCCTGTGTCCAATTAATTTTATTTTTCCCCTACTTCAAATAGCCCAAAAGGGCTAATCCTGCCCCTGCGCTTTTTTAGTCCCGTCCCACTCTGTCCCTCATTGACAACCAGTCCTAGTCCCAGTCTTAAACAGTGATGCAGTGTTGGAGAGTAATAAAATACATTATTGTAAAATTAGCTAAAAAAATTTCGTTGGGTTTGTTTCAGGCAGTTGCAATCAGCCGGACGCGAGCGTTCCAGCGTTATGACAGCAAGCTGATTCCAGAGAAATTCCCGGGCTGTGAACGACACGAATTCGAATCAGATGACTATTGGGCCTGCGCTGCGCGGGTCATCACCACCAATCTTCATCATCAGGTCAGCAACCGCAAAATTAATTGCCATTCCCAGTGCTAAAGAGCAAAGATCGACAAAACCCGAAGGAATGGAGATGCTGCATGTCTGAGGGATTTGCGATTTGACCATTGATTCTTATGTAAAAGTTCGCGAGAAACACGATGGTGCCACTGTTTTTCTCTGAAATCATCTCCCAAGCTCAAAAAAAGCTCTCAAAAAGAGGCCAAAATGGAGGGGATATCCCACCCTACCCTGAGAGTCCACTTCTACATCAAAACAAACTCACCATGCAAAGATAGGGAGCAAATACATTAGCAGGGTTGCCGCGTTTTCAGTTTTGGAGTCCCCAAATAAAGTGGCAGCCCTGTCAATGTATTTGTTCCCCATCTTTGCACGGAGAGTTTGTATTGATGTCAAGGTGGTCTCTCAGGATAGCGTGGGATATCCCCTCCAATTTTGCCTCAACTTGAGAGCTTTTTTTGAGCTTGGCAGTTGATTTCAGAGAAAACCAGTGGCACCATCGTGTTTCTCGCGAACTTTTACATAAGAATCAATGGTCAAATCGCAAATCCCTCACACATGCAACATCTCCATTGGTTCCTTTTCATGAGCGCTACAGTCAAGAACAGGCCTTGTCCACGCGAGCGCAGTTCGGACGAATAAGTTCCGCGAACTAGCGGTCTCAGGAGCAAGTTATGGGTGAGTTATAACAAGTTCCTGGAACTTGTGCGCCCGAGGTTCCTCGAGCAGCGCTTGTGCGGACAAGGCCTTATACCGTGCACTTTTAGCATGTAAAAATGTTCGCTGTGTGTTCTAAAAGATTTGTTTTTTTGAAAAGCACCAGGCTAAACCGAGAATGCTTTACATTAAAAAGTTACACTAAGATGCCGCCTACATTCTTAGAAAAAATCTTAAAACTTAATCTCTAAATAATAAATTGTAATTCTATAAAAATTCTCAAAAATTTGAATTTTGCACGAATTCTAAACGCCAAAAAAGCGGGATGATTCATCCTCCCAGATATTTCTATCCCTTCAATTTCTTCTTCAACTACTTCCGTCTCGCTCTTTCTCGCGTTCCCTCTACTTTTCATTTTATTCCTCTCCTTTTTTTCCCTCCTCTTTTTCCTTATTCACTTCCTTCTTTCCTTTCACGGAAAAATTAAATTGGTGATTCAACAATTTTGTAGTTTGAAAAAGTGACCGCAATGTTTCGACGTAGATTTAACGATCATAAAATACTAATTTAACCACCCCCGTGGTCTAATTACCTTTCCCTCTATTGTAAAATGTACCTGCTTTCAAACATAGCAGTCACTCTCTTCAACGATTGAATTGTGAAATCAGCAATCAATTTTTTCCCCATGATTGTTCAAATGAAGGGCTTGGAGGAGAAGGCGTTTAAGTGCAGTTTTTGCTATTTGGAGAAATACGTTAGAAGTTTCGAGATTACATTGAACCTTATGGCGGAGAGAAAGTTCAAACTGACTTTTTGATGTTTAAAAATTGGGATTTTGGAGCGAATTTTTCACAGAGAATGCATTAAGACTATAGTTGGACCGAGTTTAACAGAAAGGAACCAAGCCACATCAGCTATTGCCAAGTTTAACTGGACAATTAATTTTTTTACGAGAGAACGTTTTTTCGGATTTATTTGAAAATGTTAGGGAAATTGCTTCGCACCATAAAGAATTTTCACTGAAATTTGCACGAAAATCCTCACAACCGTTTTCATGTAAAAAATTAAATTGCACAATTAAATTTGGCAATAGCTGATATGGCTTGGTTCATTTCTGTTTAACGCGGTCCAGTTTTACTTGAAAACATTAACATCCCCATTTTTTCAAAAACTGCACTTATGCGCCCTGTCCTCCAAGTGCCTCAATGGAGATGTTGCATGTTTGAGGGATTTGCGATTTGACTGATGATTCTTATGTAAAAGTTCGCGAGAGACCCGATGGTGCCACTGGTTTTCTCTGAAATCAACTCCCAAGCTCAAAAAAAGCTCTCAAAGTGAGGCCAAAATGGAGGGGATATCCCACGCTATGTCCACCTCTACATCAAGACAAACTCTCCATGCAAAGATAGGGAGCAAATACATTAGCAGCGATGCCGTGTTTTCAGTTTTGGAGTCCCCAAATAAAGTGACAGCCCTGTCAATGTATTTGCTCCCTATCTTTGCATGGAGAATTTGTTTTGATGTAGAGGTGGACTCTCAGGGTAGGTTGGGATATCCCCTCCATTTTGGCCACAACTTGAGAGCTTTTATTGAGCTTGGGAGTTGATTTCAGAGAAAACCAGTGGCACCATCGTGTTTCTCGCGAACTTTTACATAAGAATCAATGGTCAAATCGCAAATCCCTCACACATGCAACATCTCCATTCCTCCTCATTGGTCGCACGTTGGGAGTTCTACTCTCCGAGTCCGTCAGAGTGGGGTCAATGCTGGATGGTGGATCTGATCCCGTTTGATTTGTTGGCAGGTGGGGACGTGCAAGATGGGTCCGGAGTGGGACCCAGATGCGGTGGTGGACCCGCGGCTGAGGGTGCGGGGCGTGCGGGGGCTCCGGGTCGTGGACGCCTCCATCATGCCGGTCATCCCGGCCGGACACACCAACGCCATCGTCTTCATGATCGGCGAGAAGGCCAGCGACATGATCAAGGAGGACTGGGCCAACGCCAACGACAACAGGAAACGCAGGAAAGGAGACTGACCGGAACCGGGACGTCGCTGACCTGGGGGCACGCTCTACACTCTTCAAGAGAGTCTCGTGGGACTATACTCTACGGGAGAATCTTGTGGGACTTTCCTCTTTAGGAGAGTCTCGTGGGATTATATTGTACAGGAGAATCTTGTGGGACTTTACTCTACAGGAGATTAGTCTCGTGGGAGTAAATTCTACGGAAGAATCTTGTGGGACTTTACTCTACAGGAGATGAGTCTCGTGGGACTATATTCTACGGAAGAATCTTGTGGGACTATACTCTACAGAAGATGAGTCTCGTGAGACTGTATTCTACAGGAGAATCTTGTGGGCCTTTACTTTACAGGAGATAATTCTCGCGGGACCATATTCTACGGGAAAATCTTGTGGGACTTTACTCTACAGGAGAGTCCCGTGGGACTTTACTGTACGGGAGAGTCTAGTGGGACTGAACTCTAACGGGAGTACTGCTAGTGGTGATTCTGCAAGTTGGCAACACGGTTATAATCCATAAAAAATTGTATGCGAGGCAAGCTGCCTTACCAAGAATCGATTATTTTCCATATATTTAAATGGTGGAAAAACAATGTTGCCAACTAGCAAAATTTCCCCTGAATTTCCGAAAGATTCTTTTCCCCAGGGCAGTTTGTCACACCTCTGGCGTAAGGGCGTATCTTGAATTCCGCATGAGTCCCAGAAATCATGGATTTACACGTAAAACGGGGCTCACGTGGAGATTGATATTTACGTCAGAGGGGCGACGAGTTACATACGATTTTGAATGATACAATTTGTGAATGGAAAATCAAAAATTTCGCTCTCATAAACCATTAGACTGAAATCAATTAAACATTGGATTTAAATGTAATTATTTTGTAAATATGTACAAATAAAGTTAAGTGTTCCTCTTTGAGTTGTTCTTGATTAAAAACCTCATCATCCAATTTAGACAAGAATTACCGGGGGGCAGAGCCCCCTGGTAACTCTTATAAACTTGAAAATCTATGAGCATATACTGGAGTAAAAGCACTAAAGGTTCCAAAGCATTGCGTTGCTTTTATTTCCTGTAGGAAAGCAAATCTCAGGATAAAATTAGGCAACGTACAGATTCTGTTAGGCTCAACCTTGTCACATCCGTCCATTTGATAGTGAGATTACTAGGCAGTTAATGACTTCATCGACTGAAAATGAGAGAGGAACGCAAGTTCATATCATCTTTATCAATTAGAGCTTCCGTACATCATCGATATGAAGTTGCTCGACACTCTAAAAGTAAAAGTTCTGGGACATTTTCTCTTTCGAAACTCTAGGTTTGAAGAATATCTGGGAGAGAGAAGTAAAGAACTTGAAATATAAATAGGCTAGATGAAAAACTAGAGCCAAATAAAATAGTTTTCTTGTTTCTATACTTGCATAGTCATAAAAACTAGTAACGTAAAGTTAGACTTTTTTTTGGGGGGGGGGGATGATCAAAGGCTTTTCTGCCTTCATCGAGTTCTTCTTCGGGCATCAAGCGGTTGTATACGATCACAAATTTTAATACACATTATGAAAGTGAGAAGGGTGATGAAACTCGTTTAACTTATCCTTTCTTCTCACTGCCTCTTAGCAAAAAATTTCTTCGAAAATTGCCACCTTAAAAATGAAATGTCATCAAAGCAACTTAAGGCAGTGACAACCGTGGTTTAAAAAAATCGATCATAAAAAAAAAAATCCTCGTTAAGCTGTTAAATGCATATTATGGCAATCTTCTACTGCCCAAACTTCCATTAAAATAAAGACAAAAAATTGACACGCGCTGTCCGTGTTTTAGATCGTTGCGAGTGACACTTTTGTAATTTGACCCGCAGTTTATCGATCTCGTACTTCTCGATGCAAATTTATGGTGCCAAATGGCGACGACTTGAGGAAAAAATTGCGGACGTTTAGGGACTTAATGAACCGAGATGTCCTCCGGAGAACCTCTGTCCTAAATGTACGGAAAAGATTCAAAATTTAAAGGGTCTCCGGGGGCATCAGTTTTTGGGGTCTATCTCTAGAGAGAGATGAATCTCTAAAATACCATGTTTTCATTAGAAATGCTGTACTCATTGACCCCACCAAAAATTCCATAATACGTTAATGCAAATATAACTTCGCCGACGCTGCTCAGAGCTTTTTTTCTCCTCAATGGAGGCGTGAGCCTTTCCAACCTGTTTGTTCGCGGATCCATTGGCAAATCTGCCGGCCTAATGCACCTACTAGCGGCGCTGCTTGGAACTCGATTGATATCAATCTAACAGAAGCGCAAAACCAGAATATGTATTATACTCGCACCCACCTTATGCAATTCTCAACCTCTTTTCTTCTCCAAGACTCGCTTGCAAAGTTGCCACCAGTGGTGATTCTTGCACGTTGACTGCTCTTTTGGGCTCTGATTTAATTCGCGATGGCATGGACAGGGTGTCCACTAAAATAGGCTGGCTAAAAATCAGTCGTTTGACAGTGCTTTTTCAGTACATTCCCAGGAAATTCAGTACCTCCTCAACAGAAAAATTCAGTACTTTTTCAGTGCCTCCATTTGACGAAATTCCAAACATTTACATTTCTCGCTCAAATTACGACAAAAATGACAAAAATTCCGGACCTTCTTGCGGAATTTTCCGCACTTTTTCAGTATTTCCGGGCCGCCCTTGAAAAATCAGTACTTTATCCTTACTTTCCGGAAATGAAGATGTTGCATGTGTGAGGAATTTGCGATTCGACTATTGATTCTTATGTAAAAGTTCGCGAGAAACACGATGGTCCCACTGGTTTTCTCTGAAATCAATCCCCAAGCTCAAAAAAAGCTCTCAAGTTGAGGCCAAAATGGAGAGGATATCCCACGCTATCCTGAGAGTATACCTCTACATCAAGACAAACTCTTCACGCAAAGATAGGGAGCAAATACATTGACAGGGCTGCCACTTTATTTGGGGACTCTAAAACTGAAAACACGGTGTCCCTGCTAATGTATTTGCTCCCTATCTTTGCATGGAGAGTTTGTCTTGATGTAGAGGCGGACTCTCAGGATAGCATGGGATATTCCCTCCGTTTTGGCCTCAACTTGAGAGCTTTTTTTGAGCTTGGGAGTTGATTTTAGAGAAAACCAGTGGCACCCTCATGCTTTTTGCGAACTTTTACATAGGAGTCAACACTCAAATCGCAAATTCCTCACAAATGCAACATCTCCATTCCGGACTTGTGGACACCCTGTTACCTTAGGTTGGCCCATTTAGCAACAATGCAAATCCTACCTCACTGGAAAAAAAACAGGAGTCTTGACTCTTAAAAACATCGACAAGAAAAAATACTCTTGATTCAATCAGATTGAAGCTTAAATCAAGAACCAAGCCTCTTAATTTGAGCGGCTTTTGTTTTGATTCAAGCTTAAATCTGATTGAATGAAGAGTATTTTTTCTTGTCAATGTTTTCAAGTCTGGACTCAAGATCCAATGTGGTTTTTTTTCCAGTGCGAGGCGAGGCGTAACGAACGATTCTGTCTTTTTTGTCTATGGCTACGTCTATCAATGTCAACAATCAGCCCTCTGGTGCTCTAATTCTTACCTAGGGTCGGCCCATTTAGCAACGCAGGAGATCCGAGTGTGGAATTAAGGTGGTGCAAATCCTACCGGAGGCGAAGCGGAGTGAGCGGGTGGGGTGGGTGAAGTGATTAGCGCTCACTCCAGAACAAATACGGGATCAGCGCGGGGCGGGATAAGACTAATTATAAAACATTTATGAAAAGGCGTTTATTAATAGAGCTGCCGAAAGGCGCCCCATCCTCTTTCATCCCGTCCAGGGGCGCTGTCATGTCGGGGGGGCCTGGGGGAAAAAAACCCCCGGGGGCGGGCGGGAGGCACCTGGCAGCGCCGCGCCGCACAGTGGATCGAGTGAACCAGAGAGGTCGGACATGAAATTATTTCCTCACATTTTAAATTTTAAGGGGTGTTTCTAGAGGAAAAATTTACGAGAAAACCAATTATACCAATTTTGGAACCTAAAAACTTGTATAATCGAAGTTATTACCCTTTAAGGCCTTGTCTCCACGAGCCGTTTCACGAGATTTATCCCAGGGAAAAATCCCACTTACGAAGTTGGTACCCACAGTACCAAGTATGGTACTTGTATCCCTAGGACCCACTGAGAGAAGAAGAAGAAGTGAAAACGAATTGTGCGATATTTTATTCATTACTACACTGTTCATGTTTGTTTAGTTAAAATAATGTGTTTAATTGAGTGCAATTATTATTTTAATCCCGGTTAAATACTCTACTTTAACTAATTTATCTTCCCGCGCAAACTAGTAGCAGGACTGTATGAGCCCCGTCCCGTGGAGACGGTAACTGGGAAAAATCCCAGAAGTTTCATTCCTGCGATTCGAACTTGGGACAAATCCCATGAAAACGTCCCGTGGAGACAGGGCCTTACATGTTAAATTTTAAGGGGTGTCTCTAGAAGAAAAATTTACGAGAAAACCAATGAAACCAATTTTGGAACCTAAAAACTTGTATAATCGTAGTTATTATCGTTTGAAGTTTCCAAATTATGTCCGACCTCTTCTATAGACTCGATCCACTGTGCGCCGGGCCGGAAGGAGGTCACGACTAATTTTTCCCGCCGGGTTTTGAAGAAGTGCCGCGAGTATTAAATAACTGGACGCGTTTCACGCAATTTCCGCCGACACGCGCCAACGGCTCCGATGAGTGATGCTCCGCGGGGCTTGACGTCACTCCCTTGAAAAAACGGACGGGTTCGTGCTGAAAGGAACTATGTCGCGCGCGATCCCTATGCGCATAGTTCCTTTTAGCATGGGTACGGATTGCGGGTCGGGGGAAAAACGGGCTGTTCATCTTGAACGGCAGCACTATCGCCGGTGCCGGCAGTTGAAACTGGGATTGCGGATGTGATTGTGATTTTGGAGGCTAGCTTTGGTTGGGTCGGGGAGCTCAGCGGGTCGATTATTGAAACTGATAGACAGATCTATAGACAAACAAGAAAAAACACAGTGGGCTGATTCTTGATATTAATAGACAGAGCGATAGACAAAGATGACAAAAGCAGGAGTACGGAGCAATCCTATTCGTCGAGACGGGTGTAATCTTTACTTAGATGAAGGCCTGAAATACGGGAACCAATCATAAATGAATTCGCATTGTCTTTACTCTCAGTATAGAGAGACTCTAGGTCCATACTGGCCCTTTGAAAGCTACGTTTGTGATCTGCGAATTGTTTGGTAATAAAAGCAAAATAAGCTTTGAAGAACTCACCATATCGTCGCTCTTTTGGCGTAAGGCCGTATCTCGATTTCCCCATGAACCCCAGAAAGCATGGATTTATATGTAAAACAGGGCTCACGCGGGTATAAAGATACGCCCGTACGTCAGAGGGAGGGGCAATGATTTATGTGACGTCACGTCAAAATAAGGTTTTGGCGTTAAACTTAGATGTTGTCCAGTGGCGTGGGCGTGAATTGCGATGTATCGATTAATATGCCATTTAAACCTGCGGTAAAGGATCGAATATTAAGGTGTTCGCTGCGAACGCCCTGTTTATCGATCATTTTCCATAAGTTTAAATGACAGATCAATCGATATATCGCAAAGCGCGCCACGCCACTGATGTTGTCCCGCGGACACGTGGAATTAAGTATAGTCACCTTTGCTAATCTCCTATCGGCCGACAAACCTCATCAGGAGTCATTGTTTTTGAGCAGAATCACTGGGAATAGGACACAGGCAGTGGCGAGGCAATGATCGGTAATCGATATCTCCCCATTTGAAGCTATGGAAAAGAATCGATTACCGAGGCGGTCGATGCGGACACCTTATCCATCGATTCTTTTCCATGAGTTTAAACGGCATATTAATCGATGCATCGCAAAGCACAC